AGCTACTTAAGACGAGGAGGAAGCTTTTATAGGAGTAATTAAAGTATGATGCAGGCCAGAAACAAGCTTTAGGGACCAGGAAAAGGACAACTTACAACAAAAGAACATCCTTGTGTTCTGTTCTGGGGGACAAAAGCAGCCTTTTGTGGCATCCTTCAGCACGTGGTTGCTACGTGCCTTTGCAACACGTGGACTATGCTCCTTTTCATGTATGAAGCATCAAACTCAAAGTTTAAGAAGTTACGTTCTGACTTTATTTTGTTAAATGCAGGTATGATGATGAAAAGAAGGAATGGATTGGCATACTGAAAGAGATCCGATACGCTACTGGAGCCTCCTGCCTGGCAACACGCTTAAACCTCTTCAAGTTATCAAAACTGTAAACAAAATGCTGGAAAACGTGATCTGATGAGGGAGTTTTGATAGGCTCTTCTGGTTTTGTTGCATGAAAACGTCCCCAAATTGTACAGAGTTTTGTAGCAGCATACTAGTTATACTGTTAACTGTTAAACAATTCATCTGTCTGTCCAAGTCTCAAGATCTTTACTAGCTAATCAATAATAAGTGATTTTTTTGCCAGCATTTAAAATCCTGAAGAATTCTAATTAACATTGATTAGAATAAATGAAGATTTCAGAGAACTCCATTTTTCACTCTGTGAAAATGCCTGTAAAACTAGTTAGGCTTCCCTGCACTCAGACAATCCAGGATATTGGTGGCTTATCCTCCAAACAATGCCCATGAATTAAGTTAAATACAACTAGTAGGTAGCTATTCTAAGTGGCTGTTGGTACAGCCTGATTCCCCCTTCAGCAATGTATGTAAATCCTGCATTCTTCAGCCCTGTCTTGAAAATATTTTCATTAGAGCCTTTCAAAAATAACTTAGCCTGGAACTAAAGTGCATATTGGAAACAAAAGTGGCCTAAGAGATGCCAGCCTTAAAGCTGTACTATAGCCAGACATGAGGAAAGAGACAAATCCACAAGGTTAGTAGCTCTACTGTTTCACCTATGTTTAGGCTTCTGGTAACAAGGATTTTCCACTTTTTTACGCTTTTATATTTATTTCCAAAGCAAATATTTTATGGAAGTTTTTCTCAGAGATCTGATACCATTAACAAGCATTCATGAAAAAGTCCTAGAAGAACTGATCATCAGCAATACCTATGGCAGAGAGGACTTTTCCATGTACTAAAGACTTGATGCATTTTGATGTTGAAACATTTAACAATTAAACTGTTTTTAAAACTATAAAAGTATTGTTTCGTGGTGTCTCTTTTTGTGATCAACTCATCACCACTATCATATTGACAAGACACAGATTTCTTAGTGCAGCCTTTGCTCAAACCAGAGCACCATTTTCTGAAAAAGTAGAGCATGCCCACCATTTTTATAGAGTATCTCTTCAAAGAGTTTCTTCATTGAATAGAGAGGGTGTTATAAATCTACAGGATGTCATAAATCTAATTACAACTGACGTAGCGGGAAAACTGGAAAAGCAGCCCACCAGCCAAGTGAATAGCAATTCCAACTACCAGTGACCCCTTGCATTGCCTTCCTAGGAGACAGAGGTAAACATACAGCAAGGGCAGAGCCATCACAGCTCGTTTCAGTATGTTACTGTGCACTGGTACTTCATCAGTGGGACATCTTTTCTGTTTTCCCCATTAGTATCTAAACCTTCAGCTGTTCTGAGCATCTTTTCATTGGCTCCAGTTAAATCACTGGTTTACACCAGCCCATCTGCTCTAACACTTGCTGATTTAATTTTGAAAAAATGACTGCAAAGGATCAAAAGCAGCACATTTCACTGAAATACTCTTACATTTTGCTTTTCTTAGATGCCCTTTCTGAATCCGCTCATAGCAAGTTTTAATCCTCTTCCCATTGTGAATACTCATCGCTTCATCCATGCAGGACTTGAAGATACCTGGCGTGGCGCAGAATGACTACCGGATACCTGAAAAGCAGGGCTCCGCTCAAACTCATGCCCATCCATGACTGATCACGCCAGCTACAGCCACTGCCACCTTTCTTAGGCTCCAAGGTTGTGCTTGAAGGCCACCTGTACAGAAGCAGGGTCACACAGGAGCCCTCTGACTTGTACCCCACCTTTTGAGATCCTAACCTACATTTAGGATTGTCTTCTCCATTTTATACAAAATATAATGTGCATATAGACTTTCTATGATGTGCTGTGCCTTCAATGACATTTCCTCAAAGCACTCGCCCTTCTCCATTTGCTACCATAAGCAGGCAACCATCAACTAGTTTTTTTCAGTCACCCCACAAACGTGAGGGCTGCCTCAGGAGGAAGAGCACCTTGCAGCTTAGATGATAGTTGTCGGTTTTTCCTGCCTTTTCATTAGTGTCCTGATTTGTATTCAGTCAATACAAATATTTTTTTCTATTCCTGATTAGTGAAAGAAAAGTGACAGCCAGTTGCATAATAGTCAATTCAGAAATGCAGTTGCTTACCTCTGCCAGGTTTCAAAGGAAGTGGTAAAAAGAATGTCAATTGCTTCTACTACCAAGGCAAGAAAACAGATACATTGTGTGTGGGAAAGAGATGGGCACAGCTAAGTCATCAGGAGGTAACGGCCGCTGCAGTCACAACATGGCCACCTCTGAAAATGGGCTGATTTGCAGAAGTACGACCACTCTACAGTTACTGTTCTACAATGAACATTCTCCTGGCAATTCCACTTGCTCCTTCTACATCCCCGTATTTTGTGCCTCCTGGCACAAACCCTGGCTGAGCGTGATCGCAAGAAGCCTAGTAACTGGCAGATGGTTTTGAAACATGATAAATGATCCAGCAATGTTTTTCACCACCAGTAACCAAGGTAGTTGTCACTTTGAAGACTTGTCTTCGTTTCAGTTTTCAGTCTAATTTTGCTCTTTTGTACACTGTCTTATTGACAGGACAGGCAGATTAGGTGGTTTGTCTAATTCTGTTCCATTTCTATTAGCAAGGGCTAATCCAATGCATAAATGTCATGAATTGTCCAGTTGCTAGTAAGTGCCTATGTCTGACATGAGAAAATAATGCCTGTCTCGTCTAAATCTTGCAGGTATCCCTTCCAAGTTGCATTTAACTGGAGCACAGGTGTTTCAAGGATCTGGGTAGCTGCCAGACCTCTAGAACTAGTCTACCTTCTAGGTATGGGAAGGTGCTTCAGAAGGCTCAAGCCATGCTTCTGCACAGGCCACATCACAGGGCAGGAGAAGCAGCTGGAGGTTCCTCACTGCACAACACCCTCCCACCCGAAACAGTCACCCGCAGTTCCTCTGTTCTGGAAGATGGAAACAGAATGGCTGTAATAGCAGTCCTATTCTTAGTAAATCTGCATTTCAGTTTCTTGGTTTCCCAATACAGATACAGTTTGATCCCTGTTGCTCATGCTGTCACGTGCTGGAGGACAGACATAGTTTCCAGTAGATCTGCAGCCTCCTCCCTCAGAGACAAGTATTTCCAACTTTTTCTTTGGACAGTTTTATATCTGGCTAAGCCTCTGTGCTTTATTTAGCAAATAAAAATGTAATTTTACAGCAAAACTGTCACAGACATGTACTTTAAGAATAGCTTCTGGATAATGGGGGATTTTAAGCATCCTTATCACATCTTCATGGTCCATTGTGACCTGCCTTTTGCAATCCCTAACAAATTGAGGATTAAATCTCTTGCTCCCTGATGCCCCATGGCAAGCCTTGGCCCAGCTGACTCACGGATAAAGAGATTTTTGAAAGTAAGTATTCCAGTATACCAGTTTAATGGTATATTAAGTGTTTGTATAAAAAAATACTTTTGACTACATGTCTGGCATCACTGTATTCCATATAGATGCTTTCTCAGATATTCTAGCTGTTCACCTTTTGTTGACAAAACCATGGAATTCCATTCAAAGTGAGGAATCTGTAGAACAGAATCATACAAACTGAGTGTTAACATTTTCTGGTATAAGCCACTTACCATCTTACAGCAAAGAAAAGGCTCTCTGATACCTGTTTTTCTCCACTTGAAGATACTTTATCACCTGTGTCCTTCTAAAAGCTAGGCTTATTCTAGTACTAAAAAGATTAATTTCTCAATGTGAGATTCTTCTTCATATAAGTACTGACAGTTTGCTTCCAAAAAGCCGCATAGTTGCAGAGATGTAAAGCAGATGCCCACGCAATACAGGCTATGACAACTCCATTACACCATCTCCCACCTTTTGAAACCCAAATAGAAAAATCCCAGGTCACTATAGTTTGTAATGTTAATGTATCAAACTGGAATTGTGTAGCAGTAGCATAACATTTACTGTCAGGGCAACATAAGACAGGATGTTTATCCTGTTAAAAAAAAAAAAACCAACCAAGCTTAAAGAGGGATGCCAACTAAAATTAGGGTGGGTGAGTAATGATACATACAGGAGAATCTGCATTCATGAGTTTCCATTACCCAAATGTTTCTATGCTGGTGGCTGTGAATTATCTCTGGCCACTGCCTTCCCTGTCACAGCACTACCACTGCAGCAGACAGCATCCACATCCCATCCTGCAGCTGCCGTAACTGTCTATCACTCAAGGAGGGTACACTCAGTCTTTTTCTAGCATAGGAATCTGTGGCGCATTGAACTGAAACTCTCATTTCACTTTTTCTCCTTCACTTAGGCTACGTTGAGATTGCTAGTTTGCATGCAGTAAGGTTTGCATGCACTTGAGTTTTGCTGCAGCCACTTTCAGAGAAGGTGCAAGTTCTATGAAGTCCTTACACCATCTTGAGAACAGCTTGGAATTTCCCCCCTAAATACAAAAACTGCTCTCAGCCAGTAGGTGCTTTAAATTATTAAACTATCTTTAAACCTGCTGCAGGGAAAATGTATCTGCACTATCGATGCAACTCAGAAAGGACACAAAATGTTGCTGACTGCTCACCTGAACTACCCGGTACCCCAGCATTTCCAGGTGTCGTTTTTTCACTGCAAATTCTCCTTTCAGGTGTCGTAGATTTTTGCTAAAAGCTTTTGAATCAAGAAATTCCAAAGCAATTCTGCAAACAACAAGAATGTGTATTTACTTTCAGGTTCTGCCTGAATAGCAGGAAGTGGTATTTCTAGTTCAGTATTGACAGCTGTACCAAGACTATCACTAGATAAACCTGACAATTCATAGAAAAAGAAAATTAAACAACTCCCTGAAACTAATCAAAACTTCTTCCTCATATTTCATCTATAGATACTTGATCTTTACAGCATTTCCTCCTGGCATCAATTTTGGTTCTAATGGCAAAACGAGCTAGCCAACATTTTCAAGGCTTACATTTGAAGAGGTCAGAGGAAAACAATATTCCAATCTCATCAAACGCATTTCAAGAATGTCCTCTCTGTCCTAGTGTACTGGGTCTGGCTGG